TGAGAGTGAGATCATGAAAAGAAGGATAAATAGCCTCATTGCCTACTGGCTAGTTCTCCACACTGTCATTCTAGAAATTGGCATCTCCTCTCCTTGGATAAGATAGGAGCCTTCCATTTGATTCCTCCATTCATAGCCAGGAAAGGGTTGGTAAGCTCAGAGAGGTTTGTGTTCATCTTGGTTAGAGGTGGCTGTGATAAGCTGTCCTGAAGGTTAGTTTGAAAGGAGTAATGGGGAAGATCATTTGGGCTCTAATATTGTTGGACTCTAATATGAACCGGCAGTAATGGGCATGACTCTCATACTTTCATGAGACCAGCATGTGTGCTCCTAGAACTTCAGCTATAGTTTTGAAGCTTGGAATTAGTCTCACGAATAGCAGAAAGCCTTTTTCTCCTGATTTGTTTTAAAATGCAGAAATTACTATGAGAAAACAATAATTTGATGTTTATAAAAACTGTAATTACTCATGGGTGGATTCTGATTCTTGTAGGAATAGTAAATCTCATTTCCCAAAGCCCCCACTAAGACCTGGAACCTCCCTTCTCCGCTAACAAAATCCAAAGTGTACTACTTCAACCTGGACTTCCTCCCAAAAAAATACAACAAAATCTCTTTCATGGGGGGTGAAAGAGAATTTGAAGAACTGGTGGGCATGTATCTGTTCGAGATTCAGGTACAGTGCTATGGGTGAGGAGCAGTTGTAGTGGCTCAAACAATAGACCCTTCCTTTTTAATCCTTCACTTTGTCTCTTACTCCTCCTCCTCTTTTTGTTTCATCTGCTTTGCTGAATTCTTGTACTAAAATTCTTGGTTACATTGTGTTGTGAAGGGGTCCCAAAATATTGACTCAAAGGCAACTGTGAATGTACAGTTGTTTCTTTCCCTCACTGGGCTTCATTTCTCAATGTATCTTCGTGCAGTAAGTCAGAGGGATCCCAGAAACTTCCTGCAGTATGTTATGGTCGTGATGGTGAGAACCCATGCAAATGGATAGTTCTTTGCAAAAATGTCACCACATCGTGACTGTTTTGGCTAAAGGCTGGAAAACAAATGGAACTGCACTGTTTAAAACCTGAAGAGTGCTAAAAGAGTGCTTCAAAATCATGTTACACCACAAAATTAGTCTATTTAAACCCAACTTGGTTAAATTGGTTGGGAGATGTTGGAAAGCTGCCTGGCTATAGCAAAGTAATGAACAAGGTTATTCTATTATGGACTGTTTACATATTCACCGTGTTTACACTGGGACAGGATGAAGGAATCCATAGTACTGAAATGATAGGCTACCACATTTCTGCCGCTGGAAAAAATTCAATATGTATAGTATGCTTTGGGACAGAGTTTCAAGCATTTTATTCTGAGTTCAGGAAACTCTTACCAGTCCTAGTAATAACTTAACTAGATAAATTATGACATGCATCACATGCTATGTTCACTTCCTGCTTGGTTTTGCTCCATCAGATAGATTTAGTATCTAGTTGTGTGCTTGGACATACGATGTATTTTAAAAATATAGCTGAATGCACATTTTCTCAAGATCAATTTGAACACAGAATCTATGCAGGTAATCCTGTTCAAACAGTTCAGCATCTTTTTTCCCCTAAGCTTTTTTTAAAGAGAGAATAATAAATCTTTATAAATCAGTCTTCTTATCTCCTGTTTCTCATTCTGAGAGATCATTAGATCTTTTTTGAGAACTATTGAGCCAAATTCACTTCTGTTGTAAGGTGGACACAGCTCCACTAGAGTCGCAACACTTAAATCGGAGCCGAATGCAGTGTATTGTAGTTCAGGGATGGGCAATAATTTTTGCCCGGGGGCTACTTCAAAAATTTTTCAAGTAGCCCTGCACCACCCCAGAAGGGGCGGGTTCTAAATAGGAAGGGGTGGGGCTACCCCACCCCCAGACCACAATTGGTCTGGGGGTGGGAGAGCCCCTTTGCTCCCCCTTCTCACTAGGCACCCATGCCCTGGAAGAGGCTTGGCACAGCCCCCCATCCTCAGGCCAATCAGGACCTGGAGGCGGGGGAGCACACGAAACCTCCTCCTGCCCTGCGAGGAGCACGTGGCACTCTGAAGTGCTGTGGGTTACTTGCAGGGCTGGGGCAGGGCGAAGGAAGCTTCACTCAGGTCTTCCCCCGCCCCCAGGCCCTCATTGGCCTGGGAGTGGGGGAGTGCGCGAAGCCTCCTCCGCTCTCTTCCCCCTACCCCCTGCTCCTGCAAGCAGTGCGTGGTGCTTCCAAGCACCCCGTGTTGCTCGCAGGGCAGGAGGAGGCTTTATGCGCTACCCCTCCCCCCCCAGCCAATTAAGGCCTGGGGACGGGGGAGCACCCGAAGCCTTCTCTGCTCTGCCCCTACCCTGCGAGCAGAGTGGAGGAGGCTTCGGGTGCTCCCTAGGCCTTAATTGGCTGGAGGCAGGGGAGCAGCAGGGCCTCCGCAGGCTGGATCCGGCCCACAGAGGCCGTTTTGCCCACCCCTGCCGTAGTTGATTCTAATAGCTGGTCTTAGAAACATTTTCTTGACACTTGCAATGTAAACCATCCATCCTTAAGCTATCCCCCCTTTGTTTATTGTGTTAGATCTCATGAATGTCAATAAGTGAGTGACATTCATTCATCGCCTGTGTAAATGAGATGATTGGCATTCTGATTTCAGCCTGACTGCCTGTGAGATTTCCATTTGGAACTATTATTTCAGGCTCCCCCGAGCTTGCCCCCCAACGTGTGTAGGCTTTGTAGGTTTCAACAATTTAGGTATTTCTGGCATTAATTTTTCTCACTTGTGAAAACATGACTTGCATTATAGAGTGCAGTCCCTGCCAAACTCCTGTGATACTACAGCTTAGACCATGATTCTGGGGAGAAAATGTTCCCTTAAAATGGATTTCTCTCTCTCCAAATTTCTCTTAAATGTCAGCACACATTTTTGTCACGTCAGCTTTTACATGTACTCTGTTGGCTATGAGGAGAACGTATTGCCCAAGTCACTTCTTAGGAGAGCTATAAAATCCCATTTAACCAATTAAATGTTACATTTAACCACTTAATCGGGACCCCACAGGCGGGGTAGGGGGAGGGATGCCCCACCTCCCACCCATGGTGTGGTACCTTCCTGGCCATAGTGCAGCTGTGGGCTGAGACTGCCATAGGCAGGGGCTGCTCGAGCCAGGCCGGGCCTGACATAGCGCCGCAGGCAGGAGGTTGCTCTGGCCAGGCCAGGCCCACTGTGTCATGGGTGTGGGCAGCTGCTCCATCCTGGCCAGGCTGGAGTGCCCCCAAACTGCAGCACATTGTGGCGGGCCCAGCTGGGCTGCACCACTGTATCAGGGCCTCCAGTTAACTGGTTACTGGTTACATCCCTACTTAGTATAGCATAGCACCCTCAGATAACCTAACACCCTGTGCTTAACCTTACCACCTAGGTAGAATTAAGATTGTGATAGTTTTTGCTCCATGTTCTTACACTGAATCTGGTGGGGAGTAGGTGGGGATGGGACAGAGAGACTGGTAAAGAGGATGAATGAAAGTCACTGAAAACCTGGAATAGCCCTGTTTTCTAAGATTCTATCGTGGGATCTGTCCATTTGTACATGATGTGACCTACACTTAACAAATGGCTGGATTGCTCAAGCAATAGAAACAAATGCTTTTAGAGCCAGTGGTCTTGGGTTCAGTCCCCACAGAGCACCTGACCAGGGACACCGATGCATAAAACGCCAGTGATTTTCTGCCTGGATTTTGTGTTCCTCTGCGAACTGGTCTTCTCAAGGACCAGCTGATCCAAAGTGATAGCAAATTGACTAGGTGCATGTGTCATACCTTGTGAGGGCAGGTGTTAGTGCATTGGTGGTTTCCGCCTCTCCCACAAGAGAGGTGGTCTCTCACATTCTGCCCAATTTAGGACATGTCTGCACTTAAAACATGGCATTGGCAAAGCAGCAGCACTTTAATGACGACCCTCTAAGCCAAAGGGAGAGAACTCTCTTGTTAATCCACCTCCCTGAAAGGCAGAACTACGTTGACAGGGGAAGCTCTCCCGCCAAGATAGTGCTGACTACTTGGGGATTAGGTTGGTATAACTATGTTGCTCAGGGGTGGGGAGTTTTCACCTGCCTGAGCACTATAGTTATAGTGATATAGGAATGTAATGTACATCAGACCTCCTCCCTGATACAGGGGTTCAATTGACAAGATGGAAAGAAGAAGCGGAAAGGGCAGTTCTTTGGAGGAAGAAATGATGGAGTGAGCGTATGTTACAAACACTCTCGTAGTCCTGCCAAAATATCCCCTCCTTGCACTCTGTCCATTCATCACATGTGACCCATTTTTCATGTCAACTGTGGTCCTCGTGACTCATTTGGATCATTACATTAATATGGTGTGATCACCTACCTTTTAGGAAGGATTTCATGCCTACTATCATAACTATGGTTGATTTAGTACTCTTCCAAAATGTATGTTTCTCATACACAGAATCAATGACATAGATCTAGTCTTAGTCTTTTCAGCTTGGTCTCTAAACTGTTGGTAGCAGCACATCATATAGTAATTCTGGATTTCGGAAGGAACACTTGTGTGATAATGTGCCCTGAGCTTCTGGAGCGAGGATGCCTTCAGGTTCTGATCAGCCTTATTGATCTTTGTTTTGATGCACAGAAGGTAGATTTCTTCCCTTTATGGCCATCCAGTTTTGGCTGTCATGGATTTGGAATTGATTGATTGTGGCTAGAACCAACTGATTGGATGCAGTTGCTAAAATTTTCCTAAATTGCTTATTTGGTGGTAAGAATTGCTTTAAATGTGTTATGCTTCAATGGAAACTTAGCTTGTTTAAAGAATTCCTGGATTCCTAGAAGGAACATGTCATTTTGTGCAGCATTGGTGTCATTTTACCAAGCCATCAGAAGAAGTCCTCTTGGCAAAGGTGAACTGGAAATGTGAGTGTTCTCTTTTTCTTTTTTGAAATTAACTATTTACTACTCTGCTTTTGGTTTCCAGGGTCCTGGTTGGTGCCCCAAAGGCAGATTCTAAATACAGCACCTCTGTTAAGTCCCCAGGAGCTATCTTTAAATGTCGAGTCCACACCAATCCTGAGAGGAGGTGCACAGAGCTGGATATGGGTCGAGGTGGGTACGCTAACACTTTTTTACTTACTGAAAATCCTCACAAATATCTTAGGGCCTGATCCAATGTCTCTTGAGATCATTGGAAAGACGACCATCAGCGTCAGTCAGCTTTAGCTCAGGACTCTAGGGACACACAGGACTAGCACTAGGAGCTTTATCTGACTGAAGTCCAGTGGCAAAGCTTCTGTTTACTCTTATTGGTTCAGGATTATGTCCCACCTGAGGCCTGGAAGCAGTATATTCCTGATGGAGGTTTCTGATTGCAACCTGTGCTTTCTCTGGTGGACCACAGTGTAAGGCTAATCTTTTTGGCCAAGCCTTTGCCAAATTAATCTAAACCAGGCCATTGTCTTTTCCTTACCTGCTTTGTTTTCTTTAGTTTCTGGAGAGAGATGGTCAGAATTACTGCTCATTTCTGCATTGATTTCCCCTCCTTGCATTTGAAGAGTGCTTTATATACTATGTTACAGACAGAGTAATCTGTGTGAGTACTCTATGGAATAATAACCCTGATTGTTTTCTTTGGATAAGAAGCAAGTAAGATCAAACACATCAATGAGAGTAGCCTGTTATTGCATCTGATCAGGGACTAAGTTCCTGTTGTGCAAGATGCTGGTCAAACATAAGCCAGGACATAATCCTGTCTAGGGCTCCCAGGCTAAGGCCCTGATCCTGGTGAAAAAGACTTCATAGATATATAGATAGAGATAATAGAGATAGGAAAGAGTTGCTTGATGAGCAAGAGTATCTATTACAAGGTCACGTTATAGATATTTAAACTAAATGCATCCTCCTCCTCCCCGTCCCTCCCTTTTTTTAAGGCAATGCTCGTGGCATGCTCTGTGGAAAAACCTGTAAGGAGGATAGAGATGATGAATGGATGGGCGTAAGCCTGGCTAGGCAGGCCAAAGCTGATGGAAGCGTGCTGGTAAGTCCACCCTTTCCCTTGATCTCAATAGAGTGATCGTTGCTGTGCTGATGCTAATGTTGAACGTGTTGGGATTAACATCTTAATGACTGACTGATAGAGTTCAGGGCTAGGAGCAGTGAACTCTATAGTCCCTTCCTTGAATCAGGTAGAAAAACAAGCCACAGGCAGAAACGTGTTTAGAGAAAGAAGACTTCAAAGCAGGTGCACCTGACTTGTCACCTAAAGGGCTTCCTCTTAAATTTCTGAGTATTTAGGCCTTTTGAACAGAATGAATGACACTTTTGTTTTTCTCTGAACATGTCTGCTAGTCCATTTGTTTTACAGATTGTGTATGTGTGGGAGAGTGGGGTGTATGCCAATTAATAGTGTGTATGTTCTGTCAGAACTTGTTAAAAAAAAAAGTCAGATGTAGATTTGCACCTAAATTCTGCTCTTGAATGTGTGTGTGAATCTTCCATTAATGAGGTAACAAAATCACTTGTTTGTTCATTTTCAGGGTACATTTAGCAGGCAAATATTGAGGCCCATGGGAGTTGCTGTGTGTGTTTGTTAAAGGGTAAAATTTGATCCTAAGGATGTGGAATTTATCTTCACTGGACAGTGTGTTTCAAACCCCATGAGTCTTCAAATAAATAACAGAGAAAGCTGGGCAGTTATTGCAATAAAATTCTGTAAATAGTTGTTGACCTTTAAAAATGCCTTTGATTACTATGAATGCTCCTCCCGTGGGTTTCCTCTTGGTGATTAGTCTAGCTTAATAGCTTACTTGCAGAAATGTTCACCAAAACAGCAAGATTTGAGAATATTGCAGAATATTTGTGAAAAATGAATTTCAAGATTGTACTTGAATATTTCCAATAGAAATCTGATTCTAAACTAATTCAGTCAGAAAACAGAATTCTATCACATCACCTATTTTTCCAATCAGATTTGGAATTCTGTGTGTATGGAACAAATTGTCAAAAATATTTAGAGATTGTTTTTGTACTATTCAGACAGTTTCTTTAAGCAAATCACAATTAAATTTATTTTCAACTTGAGAACAGAAAACTGAAAAATGATAGAATAAATGGTTACAGATTTCTCTGTTGTAATCATGGGCATAGCAAGTAGGTATAGGTGTGCTGGGGAAATATTTGCACTCTTTGGAAGGTATAGCTCTTGCCAAAAAAACTAGAGATGGCCTGTGTTCATTTTATTGACTTTCCTCTGGAGAGATTAATTCTTCACACAAATGATAGGTGAGACCATCTCCTAAGAGCCAAGTAATGACAGATAGGTAAAGAGTCTTGAAAAAATACATATAATCATACCAATTTTTAAGACAGGAAAGTTTATACCAATATTCTTTATTATGCCACTGTGTGGTTCTGAGCATGGTCAACACCTGTGCTAGCAAATAGGAGTGGAGGATGATACAGCCCTTGGCAGGAAGTACCTCAGTATCTTGCTAAATTGGGGCCTAAATCTCCATAGGCATGATTTTGTACCACACATTGAAGTTAATGGGAACTTTGGCGTCAACTTCAGTGTTTGCAGTATGAGGTCCATATAGATCCACTGTCCTGGTAAACCAAAGATTTTTTAACTCTCTTTAGGGCATGAAGACTAAATAGAAAAGCCTTTTATAACAAAGATAGGGTGATGGTATTTCCTAAAAGGAAAACAAGACACCACCAAGGGCTGACCCAAGCTGCTTTGGCACCCCATCCCTGCATTTGGGGCAGGCAAGGAGCTATGTACAGACTGGATAGGGTGATTATGATTCCCAAAGGCTTGGACTGGCATTGCTGTTCGCCCAAGTCCTGCCTGCACCTTGTTGGAGCCCTGATGCCCTTCTCCCCATGTGGGGCTGGCACTGCTGCTCACCTGCAAGTTCCTTTACATCCCACATTTTGGACAAAAATAGGAATTTGACAAATGCCTGCTTAAGCCAAAAAAGTCTGGAGGGCTGGAATAGGGCTAGCCTGACCAAATGAGATGTATGGTCACTGTAAGCCATTGGGGTGCTCCTCGGGGAATGATCAGGCTCCCCTTGAGGTCAGGGGGTGGCTAGTCCAAGCCCTAAACCTGCAGTCCCTAAACCTGGCTCTAATCCCGGGCAGGGGCAGCAACAGTCAAGCAGTCTAAGCAAGTAGTCAGTAGCCCAGCCCTAGAGCATGGAGAGGGCTTCTCCCAGAACAAACCAACCCAGCCACAGTCAGTACGCCCAAGTACGTAGTCTGTCTCCTGGCCCAGGAAAGGTTCAGGCACTTTGCCTGTGGCTGCACACTGCCGTATGGGAGACTGTCACCTAATCAAAGGGTGGCGGGGGGAGGAAGGAGGCCGCGGGCCCTCCCTTCTCCACCACGCCCCGGCCCAGGGCCCTAATAGCAGCCGGTAATCAGCTGCCAGGTCAGCAGGGATCCAGGCCAAAACTCACTGACATGTAGTACTGGGGTCAGTGGGGGTCCACTCCGCAATCCACTGACCCCCAGCCAGACCAAGGTTGGCTACCCCTGGGCCAGCTCTAGTCCTCCCCTCAGTCCTCTGTATGTGGTTCCTTGGGAGGTCTTCCGGACGGCAAAGGTCAGAACAGCAGGCCCGCGTGCTAGTACTCCTGGAGAGGGCCGGGAGGCCCGAGCCAGTTGTCCAACTCCGCTGGCTCTGATTCCTCCAATGGCCAGGGTGGGGAGGCTTCTTGCTCCTTCGCTGTCAGGTAGGCGATGGCCTCTGGCTCCCTTGCTGGCTGGGGAGTGTGTGCCTCTGGCTCATTCTCTGGCAGGCCCCAGACTAGCCATACAGGAAATCCTTTTATATCCTTGGGCCCGCCCTCTGACTTCCTCTCAGGTGAGTCCTCCATGTGAGCTCAACCTGGATTAGGGAGGGGCATTTCCTCTTCGGGGTCAGTGGGTGGCCACTCCAGCCCAGTACAGTCACCCAAAAAGAAAAAATCACAAGTGTAGCTAGACTTAAGTACAAACTGACCCAGCATGTATCCTCCAGATCTTCAATTTAATCATGAGTCAACGTTAACAGTAATCTGAGAATTACAAACAATACAATTTGGGTTGCCAGGTCTCTCCCGACAAAAACTGTAAAATGCATTTTTTCTCTCCTTGGGAAAGAAACCAGGGACAGTGCATTAAAACTTGGAGATAAGCCATGTCCCTTAATCTCATTCTTTCCGAATACCTGCCCCCTTTCTCATGTATCTCGTTGTTCCCCAAAGTGTTGCCATTTTTTATTTTAAGTAGCCAACTGACTGGCCACTTTGAATGTGGTGACTTGGAGGTGTGGAAATTAAAATAGTTGGACTGAAGCTAAAGTCCACGTGGTAAATGGCAAGAGGGATTTCAGTCAGTTATTTGTGCACTCATAAAGTCCCTTGTTGGGCTCTGGTCCTCTGGCAAGCTCCAGACTTGCCCTATTGACAGCGTGCCCATGCAGGACTGCTTTCAGCATCTTTGTAAACTACTTAGGGCAAGGTTTGTCTTTCCTGCTGTATTTTCTACACCAAGTCCATAGCTGGTGTTTAATAAACAAACCAGGGCAAGGTTGCATTCATATCCTCGGCTTCCTTTGCCTTACTGTAGTGGTTCATGGCTGCACTGCTTTTCCTCTGTATTATGCAGGGCCCCATAAATTCCACAGTGCAATGAGTTGTGTGACCACAACTCTTGAATTCCACAATGTTAGTTTCTTCTATTGCTGTTCCCTCGTCCTTTCATAACCTCTGGCTCATAGCTAAAAACACTCATTGATGTGAAATTTGTCATGGTGATTTTCCAGGGTGGATTTTGCCCTGTAATCTCAACTGACCCATCTCAACTCTTAGGACTCAGCTCCTGAGATGTTTAGGCTGTCAGGCTTGGAATTCCTTTCCCATCCATAGGCCAGGAAAGTGGCGAGCATGCAGCTTGCTTCAGTGGCTCAGCTTTCTGGTTTCCCAGACCTCAGCTAAGCTGAACTAAGTGGGGAATATGCATTGTAATTGGAGGGGCAAGCAGGAGTATAAGCAGCAGCTATGGACAGGTCTTGGCATGGCAGGAAAACAGCATATGAAAAAATGGCAGATTCCTTCATAAAAATGCCAATTCCACAGCATCTTGGAAAAATGCCAACTTCTGCTGCCACAAAATTGAGAAGCCTGAGATGAATGGGTTGACCACCCATCTTGGAGCTGTTGTTTCAATCCCTCTGCAGACTCAAGCAATGCAGTGTTACCTTCCTACGCTCCACTCATGTTTTAAGAGTTTGCTTCATACCTGTAAACTCAAGTTTAAAGAGCGGAACACTGAGGTTCTGAAGCAGAATTGCGGAGGGCCAATTCTGCCATGGCTGAGTACACAGGACCAGTGATTTTATAGAAAGGTTAATAATCTCCAATGGAAACGTAGGGTGGGAGCACTGGAAAAGGCTGAAGCAGCTCATGGACACCAGTAAACAGAATGAGGTTTGCTTTCCTTTGCTTTCATTGTTTCATGTAAAATGCTCATCGCTTTGCAAAGCTTTCAGCCCAGCGTCTGTTTTAAATACTCACGCTAAACTGCAGCTCACTTTCTTTATCTTTCCCTCTTTCCTGCTCTCAGCACTTCACTGGTCTCATTCCTGAGCAAGGCCTGCTGCTGAGGTTGCTGTTCCCAGTTTTCAATCATTTGTGCTGCTTTAGCAGAGATTAGTGGGGTTAATGTATGCATGTCACTGGCAGCTTTTGGGAGGTTAAAAAAAGGGACTTCATAATATCACAACCCTTTATTTATTTGTAGCTTAAAATAGGCTCAGGGTTTTTTTTTCTTCTGCCGTTTATATCCGGAATAACTTTTTTGTTTTTCAAATCCATTCTTGTCAGTTTTTTTCTCCTCCGTTTATATCCAGAATAACTTTTTTGTTTTTCAAATCCATTCTTGTCCATGACATTCTGTTCTCTGGTTTCATAGCTGAACTTGAATGCCAGCCTAATGCTGTGTCTGTATGGCACACTATACAATTGTATATGGGTTGTGTGTGTTTGCCCTGCCAGTGCAAATGCTTCAGGAGACAAACGATTTCCTGATCAGTCTGAAAATAAATATTTCACGCATTTTAAAACATTCTGAACAAAGATTAAAATCCTAACCACGTTTGCTTAAAGGAGCAAGTAATAAGGTTCAATAAAACCTTCCTTATGAACTTCCTAACATACATCTAGCTGTCAGTGTGCCATTATAAATAGCCTTCATATAATGCATGGCTCTTTGTGATCTAAAGTATAGTACAGAGCTTTCCAAAGCTCTCTAGCCCTTCGTTAGGCCTGTGTGTTAGCGAGCTTATCCAGTGAATAGCTTCATTTGATTGAGTACTGCTGATTAGAATAGCAATACTTATTAAAGCCCTCACTTAAAGCTGATGATTTGGGGAAGCTGACTATTGGTGGTGGTCCACTCCACTGAAATGGAAAGAAAGTAGTGGTGACTTTTAAAGCTTTTCTAGGGTTAACAACTTGTCTATACTGTAGTCTGCAGTGAGGTTTGTTCTATACCAGGGGTGGCCAACCTATTACAGGCAAAGAGCCAAAATAGTGGTGGACATAGTGCAAAGAGCCAAGGGGAAAAAGTTGAGAAAAACAAAAGAAAAAAAAAGATGTTGCCCCTTTAAATAAACTCCAATTAGGCTTTTTGGCCACATCAGGCTCCCAGTGGCCATCTTTCCAGCACCATTTTGCTTTGCCACACCGGTTGGCTCAACACAGGGAGCACCCAGTGAGTACAGGGAACCAGGAGTGTGGGGGCAGCTTTGCGAGCCGGGGGGACGCTTCACAAGCCGCACTGTCTGCAGTGAAGAGCTGCATGTGGCTCCCGAGCCACAGGTTGGCTACCCCCACTCTATACATTCCCAAGTAGTTGGGACAGGATGATGCAACTTTACTTGTTTTAGACTGCATCCCTAGGCAATGTACTCAGCACAGATGTGGTAAAATTGGGATGAGGATAGTGTCTTGCATCATTCCAGTACAGGCAGTCCCCGAGTTACGCGGATCCGATCCGACTTATGTCGGATCCGCAGTTACGGACGGGGCCCGTCTCCCTGGTCTCCAGCAGACCAGGGAGAGGAAGCAAAGCAGCGGAGCACGCGGGCAGCAGACAGCCCAGACGCGTCTGGATTGTCGCTGCCCGCATGCTCCTTGGCTTTTCTCTGCTTTGCTCCCCGTCTCCCTGGTCTGCAGACCAGGGGAACGGGGAGCAAAGACACGGGACACGCGGGGAGAGGGCCA